TGGCCAAGTATATATAGACGTGCCATGGATCAGAAGTTCTATGTACCACGTACTGGTTAGGGGAAAATAAATAAAATAATAAATATTTTTCCAACTAAACAGTCATTTCCCAAAACTCCATAGGTGAAAAAACATAATCAAGACATTATCCAGGCCTGGCTAGAACGTATAAAAAGGCTTACTCAGTTAATGTTTGTTAGCAGAAAGTTAAAGTAGGTTGAATGTCACAGAGATCTTACCGAGATATAGTTTGTATAATAAGTTCATATTTCTAATAATAGTTGGTTAGATTAAGCAATTTTATTATAATGTTCAGTCTCGTATTCTTGTCTCGATATCTTCTTGTTTGTATGTGTGGAGTGTGATGAGTTTGTCTTCTGGAATGTTGGTAGTATGGACATTTGCCAAACACTACGGTAGTAATTATGAAATAGTTCTCTCTCGTTCTGTGCCGGTATAGGACTAGTTGTTCACCGTTTAAGTGTTGTATTACTTGCTACCCACCTTTTCTACAGCCTCGGTACTCATCCTTTGCCTATGTTTCGCCTTAGAGATACGCCTGAAGTACGTTATTCCGTGGCGTAGCCATCGAGAATTTCACATTGCGTGATTAACGTTACGCTAACGTATCTCATTGTGTCTAGCTTACCATACATTAGTTTAAAACCCACAATTATTAAATCAACATTCTTGGATTCGTTCCTGTTTTTGGACATTATATTGGTGCTGATATAACAATAGAAGCAAGAACATTTTGAACGAAACAATTGACAGTTCATCGGTTAATCAGGAGAAAATATTGATTGCTATACTACAGTATACCTGTAAATGCCTCTTTACAATGAGTAGACTAGACGTATGTAGGTCTAGGTGTTAACAGTTGTATGCCCTGCAAAACAGTTTCTTTAAAAAGCTACGAATTGGGTAGGCCTACGCTTGTTTCTGAAACTACTGGTACTTTACCGTAACCTAAAAATGTTGACGACCACTCATTATATACACCGATAAAACTAAAACTTAGCTTTAAATATCCATTTGCCTGCGCGCCAGATTATATAAGAATTTTATTTGTTAGTGATCTAAAGCAAGGAAAGGCGTAGAAATTACACACCAAGAGTTAACCAGATTACTCTCTCATTATTCGTCTCTCACATAAACTAGGTACCTGGAGCAAATTTGGTAGATGAACACCCTCTGTTTACTGTCACAGAAAACCTGACGATCAGGGTTAACAAAGATTGAAAAGATATCCTATAGACCCTTCTGTTATTTCTTGTTATCATTCTAGACAGGCATAAGGTATGTTCATACGTGAGGTATAATTCTGTCTATAGTTTTACCAGTTTACAAAAGATGATTTCGAAAATTGTCATTTTTAAAATGGTATATACTCTCAACTAGTTACAGTAAGTATACGTGGTAGAATCTAAATAACTTTCAAAAGTTTAATTGAAATATTAAATTCTTATTTAAAAGTGCGAAAAGAGTTTAAATATGAGATTAAAATATTCTTTTTTGTCGATTTTTAAACTGAGAATACTGTTCTTAGACTAAAAAATAATCGAAAACAAATTAAGTATTGAATGTTATTCTTCAAATTATATACCTTAACAATTACACATAATATAATATAAGTGTTCTGCTAGATAATTCAAAAAGGGAAGACCTATTATAATGGCTCTAAATAACCGTATGTGTAGAAGGGGACATGCTTCATGTCTATAACCTGTAGGCCTACAGTATACCGATCGAGCACAGTCGAAATTAAAGGATTCTGTATCGATGTGATAGCCAAAATTTAATAAATTTAAAATAAAGAACATTTGTTTCAACAATTTATTTTAATTTTTCGTAGACATTTATAGTTTCGCCACAACGAATACATTACATTACTTTAAATTCAATTCCTTTTAATGATAGCATTTCTTTTTATCACAGCCAAAACAACTACAGGTAATAGGCCTACACATCCATCCTCATAATAGGCCTAAGACTTAGTTTATGTAAAGTATTATGTGTATGTTTGTGTTGTGTAAGGCATTGCAACATATTATAAAACGGTAACTCACTTTTGTCAATCCTTGGTTATTGTACCTAAACTTTTAAAAAGTCGGGCTTTTAACGATAGAGGTAAGCCTACAAACTAGTAGAATACCTAAGACTACAATGTGGTCTAAAACAAATTCCATCTGTATGTTGGTAATTCCACTGCTGTTAGGCATACTTCCAGATATTCTAGAAATGTTTTTCACAAAAAGTCACGGGAGACAATTTTAACTATCCCATTTTCAATACACTTAATTGGACATTGCCTTTTTCGCTGTTACTTAAGAATAATGTCATTCAAACATTTTAGAAATGGTTGTCACACAACACGGGAGACAACGTTTCCCTTTTGGCATTGTCGGTCACCCCTTTAATAAAGTTGTTCAAACATTATAAAAATGATTGTCACACCACACGGAAGAAACATTTTTCTCTGACAATAAAAAATCAAGCGCATTTCAAATACACGCTTTGTGACATTCCGTTCTCTCATACATTTGAAATGGTTGTCACACATGCACGAGTGACAACTTCTTCCCAGACAATGAAAATTGAAGCTCATTTTGAATACGCACTGGGAAGTTTTTGTTTTAAAAAAAAAAGTCATTATTGGAATATTCTAGAAAAAAGTCATTGTTGGAATATTCTAGAAGTTGTCACACAAATCAGGGGAGACGACATTTTCACTGACAATAAAACTCCAAGCGCTTGGACATTATCGTCTTCGTTCCTATAAAATCATTTAGATTAATATTGCACAGTAGATTCCTCATCACAAAGAAGCAATTATCATGCAATTGTCCAATTACATCTGATTGCTCCTATTATTTTCATTTAAAGCAACCTATCGCGAAGAAATCTATTATCTGTGATAATGCAATATAGGCCTGTCTTGGATTTCCTTGCGTGGTTTGTTTTCGCTAATACTTTCAGCACTTGGCATATTCGACTGTAAAATACACGCGTGCGTTCACGCTGTGACGCCGTATTGTCATTTAGTGTCTTATTAAAATATTAATTTAAGAAGGAGCAAACCTACTGAGCGATAATTGATTTGATTATCTTGCATTATATGAATAGGCCTATACTAATACGGATGTGCAGTTACGCACTTTCTTCATTTTGTTTTCATAAAAAGCAGAGGTGAATTCAAGGGACCTCACCGGCCCAAGCACTACCCACCCAAAATATTTTGGGAAAATGAGAAAAAGAAAAGGAAAATTGCATTAAAACTTTAGTTTCAACGTGACATTTTTAGACCATCTAGAGGTACCTACATTTCGTTGCTCAGTTCTAACCAAGATTGGTTGATGTTGTAGTCCGGCTACTCCATCTGAAAAATGATTCCTTATGTTCCTGGATCCGCTCCTGAAACAATATGATGATACAATAGTAGGCCCAATAAAGATAAAGTATAACCGTAAAATTATGGTTAAGAATATAATGCCATGTGAAAACTTTAAAAATATAATTCAATTTTTATATTTTATTTTACAAATTTTTTTTACAAAAGATTGTTTCAGGTGAAATTATAGATTGTTTCTGATTTTATTATTTAGTCGGGCACCTGACTCTCAGCTAGATGGAAAGGGTCACACTCTACACATATTGTTGACATTTAAAATAAATATAAGTACGTGAAGTAGATACGTGCTATGAAAGAAATTCAGATATGTATGTATGCTAATGATGCATAATGCACAATTGGAAAATAAAGAAAAAATAATGCAAATCACATCAGCAACGAATTCAATTTGTTTGAGTGGATTTCGTTGTTTTTATTAGGCCTATTTGAGCATAGATCCTTCCTGCATGCTCGATCCTTCCTGTCTACAATAACGCTGGGTCTAATGCGCCAGTGTCTGTGTGCTGAAATAACAAAAAAAAAAAAATCCAGCCATTGTTTCCCACAGCATTGTTGTTTTCCAGTATTTTGCATTTTTTTTGCCTTTTAATCTATATATATATATATATATATATATATATATATAGGCATAACGCAATGCCTTATAATCCAAACATTAGGCTATACTATAGGCCTATCATGGAGTAAACGCTTTGGTTATAAAACCTTCATGTTAACTCTCCAAAGGAAATAGGGTGTTTTGGCAGATTTTTGCAACGCTCAGGTGATAAGTTTTTATACAGGCTAATAGCCTATGTGCTATAGAACCGACAGATTTATGGACCCTGAATGGCTTGTGACGTCATTAACAAGCATTTCAATGAGGCTTAAGTAGGCCTATCGTTATTATTGTTCTATATATAACTGAATAGTTATGTCCGTAATGTTCTTAATCCGTCTATAGAACCAAGAACACCTGGTGAATATTATCCAGCTAAGCTCTTATTTAGTCACTCATGCACCTATCTATTCATATCTTTCATGCATCCTTCAAAAGAAAATCACTAACCATAAGTCTGTATGTATATCTATTGAAAAGCTAAATCCTTATCAATGACAAATCATATCATTAAAACGGGGCTATGAAGATGTTTAAATTTATTATTGTTATTATTATTATTATTATTATTATTATTATTATTATTATTAAAATTATTATTATTATTATTATTATTATTATTATTATTATTATTATTATTATTATTATTTAAGGTCAAACAGTTTTCACCGGATATTTCAAAAACCGGTCAGTTGATGTGAATGAAACTTACGGGAAAGTTTAATCAGGTTACAAGGATTAAATTTGTATGTAGTGACGATCCAGTGAAGGGTGTAAATTTGAGGGTCTTTTGAATTTGTGAGAACCCAGACCTAAATATCTCATTAAAAAGAACCAATGGGGTCTAAATGAAACATTCTGTCATACATTCGCGCAGGTTCGAATCCTGCCGACTACGAACTTTTTGAATTTTAGTAAAAAATACTATTGATTTTGAAATATCATCGTCAATTTCTATTAATATAATAATCATCATTTTTACAAACATTATTACAAGTACATGATAAGTAAATAGAAATAAGCAATAATTGTTATGTTAATGCTAAAGATATTGATAATAAAAAGAACATACAATGGAACCCATTCTTATCTATTTGCATAAATGTCTTTTTTTTTATCAAGAAGCTTGTATAACAAGGAGTAGCCGTGGCCGAGCGGTTAAGGCGATAGACTAGAAATCTATTGGGGTCTCCCCGCGCAGGTTCGAATCCTGCCGTCTACGATTTGTTTGTATCTTTTTAATTATAATAATAAACGTTTATACGGATCATCGCCATTTTTTAAATTGATATATTTAGACCTCTTATAATTTTATTTTTATATTTATTGATACTTACACTATTATTTATATTAGGCGTAGTAATATTAAGACGGTGATATATTGCTTATTGGAAACCAGCAAAACTAGCATCAATAGCAACAGCAACAGTACGAATAGTTTTTAGCATTACTTGGAACTCGGCAGATTTATAGAAAAAAAAAAGAAAAAAAAAAGATTCTAACGGACTGTTAGGTTGGGATATCAAATCAAATGATGTTGAAATACTCAAATAATAACAGTCGGAGTAATAAATTGTGGGTGGAACTTATAGGTTAGTGGTCAAAATGTTTGTATTTTAACCAGCCACACTTACACTCAAAGCGTGTGAGATACTATCAAAACTCCACTCCTCAGGGCCTAAGCCTTATAACGTGACTTAGCAAATACTGTAGTATATGCCTACATCATTATAATTACCTCCTATAATTGTCAAGTGTAGGCCTATCTACCGTACTTTCTTAGATATGTGAATAAAAAAATTGATAGCATTAGAAGAGTTCGTGAAATTACTGGCCAGGACATTGCAGCACTACAGTGGGCTTAAAGCCGGGCACAGGCTGCGTCTTACGGCCGTCGGTCGACGAATCCGACTCCGCTGCTTGTGAGCGCTGGGCGATGCAACGCCGTTTGCGTCGTAGTGTTGCGTTCTTCATATAATCGCGTCGGCCGACAACCGTCGGGCGCAGTGAGTACCTTAGTTACCGTACTACCTGCAAAACGTACACGTCTTGTGTACCATGCATCTAGTCCGACCTAGTTTAATATTAATATATTTTGTTGATTCATTTACCGATACTTCTGGGGTCACCTGAATGACCGTCGGTCTTCTTTGATGATATTTCATGACGATCATAAACTGGTCACTAGGCTGGCAAAAATTTGCTCCACGTATAGTCTTGTCGGATTAATGAACGCTATTTGGTGGAGTGATTATTCGGCATTTTATACATTACTTACTTTGTAATTTTACATTGTAAATAAATCACGATGCAGTCTGACATTTATGTATAAATTTTAGCATTACATAATATAATTCGTACATATTTATATACCGGTACCTTTGTAGGCCTACATATATATTCACATATACACATTTATACATATACTTATTGTGTATACTTTATAAATTTGCTCCATGCATAGTCTCCATGTATA